TCCCTGAAGCACGTTGGCCAACTTGAAACCAGCAGAAATAGCAAACTCTGGTTCAACTGAGACACTGTCTCAGTGAAAAGGTAGAATGATATAAGCCTCCTGGTACTGGCTTTGGGCCTTCACATGTGTGCCCACATAAGCATATGCATGCACACACATGGCACAACATGCACACACACATCCAAGAAAAAGAGAAGAAGAAAGAAGGACCTGCAAGTCCCCAACGGTAGAAACAGACCACCTTTCTCCCTAGAAGACAAAGAGCTGACCCAACAATCTACACCACATGTAGTTTTAAGATACTAAAATACCAAGAATATAAAGTGGCACCAACACTGTGAACAAATGTTTGCTAAGTAATTACTAAAGCTAACTGCATGTCTACCTACTGGTGAACAATTCCATCCCTAGGAATAGCCAAAAGGAAGGTGTTCATATATCCAACAAAACACACAAGACCATTCAAAGCAGCCTGAGCAGCTAGGAGCTGAGAACAACCCAATGCTTAGTAAAAAGTGGAGTGGGCAAATTGTGAAATAGTCATGGACTAGGCCACCATTATGCCAATCTATATTTTCTGATAACTACAGTATGATCCTGCAAGATTTTTTAGAATATTTTGTCTCCCAGTCAAAAAATAGGGCCATTTCCCTTTTCTTTACATGATGGGCATTTCACAACTCTTCAAGTAGTAATTAATACACAATAGGTATTAATACCACAGGGGTGCCAAGTCTAAGTGACAAGGACAATATAGCTTCCTTGTGGCTCACTCCCCAAATTCTCTATTTTCTCTCTCTCTCTCTCTCTCTCTCTCTCTCTCTTCCCCTTGGAATCCAGGCACACAGTTCATGTGAGCAACCTCAAGCCATACTGCAAGACTGAATCTAAGTGTCCTGTCACTGACTCTCAGACATAACAGCAACCTTTCATATAATAGTAGGCCTAGCCTTCAAGCACCCCTCCTGAAACGGAGTGAATCACACACAAGCACTGCCCAAACTACAGATCTGTGAAGAAAGCAAATAATGCCATTGTTTTAAGCTATAATCTTGAACAATTTTTTAGGTAGCCAAAGTAACTAAAACAAATACTGGGCAATATAAAGAAACAGCTACAAACAACACAAATGAAATTCGCTTATATAATACAATGCTGAATGAAAGATATCAAGCACAAAACAGTACAATGAATGACATTATTTCTACGAAAAAATAAAATAAAATGCAAAATTAACCTTAAGTGATGGAAAATTAAGCCCTAGTCTCAAGATGGGAAGAAGGCATTGATTGGAAACAATTGTAATAAACCTCTGGGACACAAGAAATACTCTATAGAGTATTTCACTCTATAGATTAAATGAGTAATTACAAAGTCAATTATATTATAAAAATTCTTCAGGATATACATCTAAGACTAGCACACATTGTTGTACATTAACAATACAACTTTTTCAAAGGGTATACACCCAAGAACTAACAAGATGCTAAGAAATGAGTAATGAGAGCTCGAAAGAGATTGAGAATCCAAAATGGAGAGAGAGCATAGCACCCTAGGGCTTCTTTATCCCGGAAAACTGCTGCCTGATCAGAACAGGCAGCTGAGAGGTTACACTTTACGAGGCAGCCCTGAACAGGCAAAGGGTCACAGCGTAGGAAATACCAAGTCAACCATCCCTTGATTTCAACTAAGACCTCAAAAAAACAACTTCCAAAAGAAAGGACAACTTGGAAGTAAACTAAACCCAAGCATAAACGGGGGAAGGCGGGGAGGTAGAGAGGAGGGAGGGTTGGAAGAGGCTGAGGCTCACTGGCCAGCCAACCAAGCCTCATCAGCAGGGCCAGGTCTGGGTCACTGTCAAAAAACCAAGGTGCTTCCTAGGAACAATGCAGAAGGCTGGCCTCTGGCATGCACATGCACCCACATGTGATCAGGTGCCTACACTTCCTGCACGTGTGTGCACACCCATATCAATAACAAAATTTAGGAAAACACTTAGAGCAGCAAACATTCTCACGTGACCTCCAATCAGTCTCCCTGATTCTATATACACTCTTTCTCGCCCTCAAATATCCTAATTTTACAGAGAAGCTTTCAAAAAGTGTGTCATGAGGTGAGCGCACCTGTAGATGACACTAGGCTGACTCTGCGACTCTAATTCCCACACCCTCTAATGGAGCCTGTATGCTCTATGGAGGAGTGCCACAGGTCAGACTCTCTTCCTCTGTGAGTCTCATGGTAACTGTAGAAATGGTGGAAACCTTTGAGAGGGGAAAATGACTCTAATATATAATTAGATCACATCTGCAAGTGGAAACTGCATCTCACAAGTCACACTGAAAGGACACACTACGTCTGTAGGAATTGGTCTGAATTGCACTAGTTACAGAACAAAGATGTTAAAGAACTAAACTCATCCAGAAAATGTCTCATTCTCTCTACCTGAAGTAGCAAGTCTTCAAGTTTTAGTATTTTAAATTCTTTGGCTTACTTCTGAACTTCCTTAACCGTTTTCAATTTTCACCAAAATCCTCCCAGTTTAATACAAGGTTGAACTCACTGGCTTTTTTCACCCATCTTTACTGGCTACAAAATGTAACAATAATTTGACATGATAGTACAGCTGGGAGAGTCAAACTGCCTGGCTGTGGAGGCCCACACTGGATCTGCTGGTTCCCTCCCAATGCTTGAAGACGATCAGTCAATTTACACCCAACACCAAGTCTGACACTTGTTCTTACTGACTCGTTTAACCAGACCAGCTGTCCTCACTGAGGGTTACCTGCAGAGCAAAACACTGTTAAAGGGAGTGATGAGGGCTGGGGAGATTGCTCAGTGGTTTGGAACACTTGCTGCTCTTCCAGGAGATCCAGGTTTGACTCCCAGCACCCACAACCATCCATAACTCCAGTTCCAGGGGATGTGACACTCTCTTCTGACCTCTTCTGAGAGCAAAAGGCGCACGCATGGAGAAATGCAGCAAAGCACTCATACACATAACACAATAAATCTAAGAGAAAGGGGTTGCTGATGGATTATACTCACCAGAACCAAGCACAACCCAGAGCTGTACAGTCCTGTTAAAAAGTAAGTAGGGACCGGCACCAAAGCTCAGGACTCAGGCTCTGAAAGTTTGACCAAGGATGCCTCTTGAACTCGCTGAGTCTTTTAACTCAGGACACCTGTCCTTGCAATTAGGGCTGTGTATTTCCCTTAGAAATTAATTTACACTGTTATTAGTATAATTCCCCTTTTCTATTTTGACCTCCGGCTTAATGGCCTGAGGAGAGTACAAACTAGGATCGGCCATCCCCCTTAGCAAGTGAATGACACCATGCTTACAATTTCTCCTTAAAATCCTAACACACTAGAAAATATTTTGTTGATTGTGGGGCCTAACTGAAAAAAGCAATGAGACACTGTTCATCCTATGCCGGTTTACTGGTTATTAAGACGACCTAAAGAAAGGGGGAAAAAAATTAAAACTCTGCCCTAGTTCCCCACCACCACCACTGACAAAACTTTCCAGAGATTCAGAATGGGAGGGAATTAGCCAGTCGTGATCGCAACCATACTGCGAAACTTTTTTGAGCTATGAAACGTCTCATAGCTCTAATTAGATAGATGAGTGTATAGATACAGAGATAGAGATAGGTAGGTAGGTAGATAGATAGATAGAAAGATAGACAGACAGACAGACAACTGATCCAACACTAAACTATTCCGGCAAGAAGAATACTTAGCACAGTGTCCTACAGCTTCTGACTTCTTCCACTCTTCCTAAAGACTGGGTACTGCCCCAGCTCACCGAGCCTTTCCAATCCATAAGGCCACTAAAGTCCTCTACAAACGCCTCTGGGGTAGGGGAAGAGAGTGAAGAGAAGAGTCTACTACCGCCCGCTTTTCGAAAATGCTGCGACGTTAGCTAACACTTCGGGTGCTACTTTTCAAAATAAACCAAGAAGTGTTTGTTGATTAAAAAGAGGGAGGCTAGGACGAGCCCAGAGATACCCGATGTACACAGCCGTCCCACCATGGAGTCAGACCTGTCTCTCCTTTGCTCGCATTAAGACACCGGCGAGCTACCGTGCTCCCCTACACACACACACACACCCCAAACTATCCTGCAAAACTTTACAAGGGCGCACGGATTTCCAGGCTTTCCAGATCCCTCCCTCACGCCCATCCTCCCCGGGGCTGCTCCAAACAAAGTTCTTGCGGCAGCCCGGCCGTCTCTTCGGAGAACGAAGTTTGCCCGGGTCCTGCCCACTCGCGCTCCAGCACGGCGCCACCACTGAAACTTGCGAGGGAGACGCGTCTCCCCGGGGACCGAAACTTGCGCGGCGGAGGGGAGGAGGGCGGCCGGCAGGTTCCGCCTCCCGAGGGTCCGCACGCAGCGCCGGGCCCTCCCGGCCCCCGGCCCGCGCCCCTCCGCCCGCCAATCACCCCGCGGACCCCCGGCGCGCGCGGCGGCGGCGCGGGCTCCCGGCCAGCCGGCTCCGT